CAATTGCAATTGAACCTTGTATTCTTAACATGTACTCAGAACTCGGGATGTTAGAGAAGAGAAGTATGAGTCACTTGAGTCATGTGATGAGACAAGGTACATTCTTAGAGGTAAATGTCAAAATTGCACCGATTGGCAAATTGAAATATCGAGTTCCAACATAGACTGAGAAGGTTTCACATGAGACTATGTTGTTGACAAAGATTACATGGTTGAAGAGTTGTATTGTCCACAAACACTTCATTGTTGAACAAAGTGCCCTTACAACCATTGTTCGGAAAGGTAGTGCAACATTGTCAGAGCCTGTTAACATTCTTTCGAGAAGGGCTGTTGAACAAATTCCAGATGACAACTGACAGAACTTTTGTACAAAAAGACGCAAACAAACTTTTCATTGTTAGTAAGTACACAAAAGTTGTTCAGCACAGTTAGCAAAAAGAAGTACACAGCTCCAATAGAGTTTGGTATTGTTCGGATACCAAACTGAACCCAGAAGATTTCCAATGAGGTTTGCAAGAACCAGAGCAAATACAAACTTCATTGAGACAGTTCAATGACGAGTCAAAGTTGTAGGAGAGCTCTGAGTTAGTCGAAGGTTTATAAAACAGGTGCTTTGACGATTTTATGAGATACAGAGAAGTTCTCAAGATAAGAGACTCATTGGAATTTCCACAACTGACCAATTTGTTGCGAAAAGTTCGAATAAGATAAAATATATATTGACTTTAGCTGCGTATGGGGTGTCCATATATCGCTGAATTCCAACGAAGATAGTGAGTTCCGGAAGGAAATAAGTTGGAAAAGTCAACAACAACTGTATGATGATTAAAGGAAGCTTTCAACCCAAACTTGCATACACTCAAATTGTATGAATTCGAATGGGATAATATCATAAAACCTAAGAGATGAAAGATCAACAATATGAAAGGTCGACACTTGTATGAAAGGTTTCTCCTTTTGGTTTGAACTCGAATTTACTCAAGTCAAGGTGGCTTAGTAAACCAGTATAACGCTATTGTCGAACATGGTCCTATCTCAGTTGCAAAGCAGTGTGCAACTACAACAATTGTTCAAGGGTAAATCACAAGTGAAGGTATACTTGATGAACATTGACTGCGCTTCATGACGAACTAGAGGCTATAACAAACTCATTGAATGGGTTTTAGTCGTGTGAGAGATGGGCTGTTTTAAGGCTTAACAGGTATTTCGAAGTTAGATCCTCTCCAAGGAAAGTACTGGGCTGTTAACAGAGATAGGTGAATAGTTTAAACATGCATGAAGTAAAACAGTGCATGAAGTAAACATTGATGAATAAAATTTTTCTAAACAGCATTAATTTTACCATATATTAATGCTTCAGGTTTGAAAAGAATACGGTGGAGCCAAAAAGTGCTCGACCAAAACAGGCATTATTGTGAAGAATATTACCAACGGAGAAACAGCGGTTGCTTTTATACAAATATTCACAGTGAATTTTCATGAATTCTAAGATAGAAAATAATTATATTTTAGCGACCGAGGTCGCTACGGTCACTAACATCTTTAAAAAAGTGACAAACATACATTCTTGACAACAACAGGAAATACATTTCATCGTAATCATTTTTTGTTAAGACATTCAGCATAAATGTTTTGTTGAGATTCATCGTATATTCTTTGTCGAATCTTATCGTTTGGTCCGACGGTTAAGACATAAACGAATGTCGACGTCCACAAAAAATATTTTTTATTTTATTGTAAGAATAGAAATGTCAGTCGAATCCAGGCAAAAACGTCACGAAAGCAAATGCTAATGGAAACTTCACAAAAGGCACTTACAACGATATTGAGTCTTAGTAGAGCAAGGATGGTATAGATAAATCGTACAAATAGTGTCAGCAGTTTAGGAAGACTATAGAAAGTGTTGGAAATACAGTCCTGGAAGATAGTTTTTAAGGCATTTTGTGTAGAAATCAAACCCGTGAATTCCGGCGTTAGCTTATTTATACAAATTCATGCGAAATTCTGCCGTGAAATCAACAGTTAGAGAAGATATGTAAAAGACCGTATAACAATGGCAAGACTGGTCTCCAATATATGGTATAGGCAGTTTGGAAAAATTAATGGAACTCATAGATAAAAGGTTCATGAGAAATTAGATAAGAAGAACTTGATAGATTACAGTAGAGATGCAAACCTTTTCGAAGAAGAAGTTTAAAAATGATAAAACATAGAAAATGAATGAGATATGTATCTGGTATTAAGATCCTCATACGATATAGACATGAAACAAGAATTAAAGAGAAATTATAGAGAATATGAATCTAAAATTTGCATTAGAAGCTGGCAAAAAGAAGTTTAAAAATTTGGGGATCGTCTTTACAAAAATATGTGAGTAAGATGACCATTTATTTCGACAAAATAATGTTTATGCTATGAATGTTAGATCTAAATGTTTCTTAAATGCTTTCTCAAAGAGACTAAAACTCTTGAATTTGTCAAGACTTCTTCGTAAATGTTTTGTCGAAACTTCTTCGTAAATGTTTTGTCAAGACTTCTTCGTAAATGTTTGTCAAGACTTCTTCGTAAATGTTTTGTCAAGACTTCTTCGTAAATGTTTTGTCAAGACTTCTTCGTAAATGTTTTGTCAAGACTTCTTCGTAAATGTTTTGTCAAGACTTCTTCGTAAATGTTTTGTCAAGACTTCTTCGTAAATGTTTTGTCAAGACTTCTTCGTAAATGTTTTGTCAAGACTTCTTCGTAATGAGCGTAAAAGACCCAAAAATAATGTTTATGTTAGAATGTTAGATCTAACATGTTTTCTAACACGTTTTCTAACATCGTAGAAAACTCTCGAAATTCATGAATTTTGACACTTTCACAAAAAACATAAAATAAAGTTAGTTTTTTAAAAAAAATATTTTTTTATTTTATTGTAAGAACATGTTAGCAACAACAGCACCAAACTCGTTAGTCATGAATCCTACGTCAATGTTAGTAGAGATGAAAAACTTCATTCCTTCTTCATATACTTTCGAAACAAAAATCCAGAAGATAAAGCAAGAACTTTTAACAAGTAATTTAGACTGTAGTGCGAAAGATGAAACAAATGAACAGTATCTTTATGAAATGCAGGACATTATTGACCATTTACCTAAACTTCCTGAAATCCAACAACAAAAACTCACTATTCCCGAATTTGACGAAATAGAAGTCAAAGCAACTGACTCAGTAGAAATAAAGAAGTTCATACGAAAGGTAAATTATGAATTCCTTGGTTTTCATTGCAACCATAAGGTTATGGACAAAGATTGCGACATGGTATATAAGAACATCTCTGACCTTTACAAATCCGAAGAATTTAAGACCTACGACAACTTTGTTTCATTAGTTGCAAAATGTGTTTGGGAAATAAGAGATAAAGATAGTAGGGGTAAGGTATGGAACGAACAAATAAGACCCGCTATGTTCGAGATGAAGAAAACCATTGACGCCTTAGTTGTTTTAGCAGGTAAGGTTTCAGAATATAACGCAAAAATGAATCCGCAATGTTCAAAATGTAAAGCAGCAATGAGGAAATATAACTACTCCGTCAAAGAGATAGAACGTATGCGAAACGACTATGCAGATTTAAAGAAAGAAGCAGAGAAACCAGCAGAAGATAAAATGGACATGTTGACATTTCTAAACAAAAACTATCCAACAGCTGACGATTTCCTTCTTTCAGATGTCAAGAAGAAATATAAAGAAACCTTCGGCATTGTTAAAACATTCGATGTACTGACAGAAGAAATAGAAGCTACGAAATTGTTTAGAGTCATGAACCATCGCAACATATACCATGTAAAACGCTTGTAAATAGTTATGTTAGAAAACATGTTAGAAAACATGTTAGATCTAACATTCTAACATAAACATTATTTTTATTGAATTCCGTATGAAATTTCATGAGTTTTGTGTGTTTTAGACCATGTTAGAAAACATGTTAGAAAACATGTTAGATCTAACATTCTAACATAAACATTATTTTTATTGAAAAAATGACCAAATTTCATTATATAACTGTTATTTTTTTACGAAGAGAACTTTTGCACTTCGTCAAAAAAATCCCTGAAATCATATCTTTTATACAAGATAGAAAATCTTACTCGCCAAAACTCTATGAAAATCATGAAGAACAGCGAGTAGGTAAGAAATCCTGGTCGCCTAAAACTCTATGAAAATCATGAATTTCCTTAAGATAGAAAAAATAAAGCTAGTTTTTTTAAAATATTTTTTTTTATTTTGTATGTAAGAACAGGAAATGACAAACACTGAGTTTGAAACAGTTAAAAAGATAGACAATAACACTAAATTGGTTAGAATAGGTGATTTAAACGTAAGATACTCAAAGAAATACAATAAATATTCTTTGTCAGACATTATATCTCCATTTGGAAAGAAAACATCCCACGACTGGGTTAGAACTGCTTCTAGTCAGAAAATTTTGACAAGAAATCCTGAGCTTATGATATCGGTAAGATTCTATGGAACTACAGCATATCTCATCGACAAAAGTCTTATACCAATAGTTTTGTTATGGTTAGACCCAGTTGTTGGATATAACTTCATAACATATGGTTTATTCGACTCAGAACGTTGCAGTGAAGGCTTACTTTACATCGTTCAGAAACCGAAGGACTTCAATACAAAGAGATATAAGATAGGAAGAACATATAATATAACTCAAAGATATGACAGTACAGTCAATAGAGTTAAGGTTGTGTTCGTTAACGATATGAGAGCTGCTGAAACAGAACTACTTGAAAAGTTTGAGAAAATATATGGTGCTCCCATAAAAGGTAAAGAAACGTTTGAAGTAGATGAGATAGATAAAGCTATAAAATTATTTGACGAAGTTGCTGAAAAATACATGTAAAGCGTTTATTTTTGGTCTTTTGTGAAAGTCAGAAAATAACGCTAATTTTATTTTTTTTTATTTTTTTATCCGGAATATAAAGACAGATATGTCAACAACAGAGAACACAACAACTGCTATCGTTCATGAAGCTATAAGTGAAGAATACGAGTGGGTTCAGTATAACAAACAGTTACGTCTCATTCGTTCGGTCAAAGATGACATGTACCAAATGCAAAGTATTTTGAATGCTCTTCGTTCTACAAAGCAAGCATACCATTGGTTTGAAAACCAACAGACAAAAGAACTTTTAGAAGAATTTCCTCATATGTTTGCTACCCTCGGAAAACCGAGGGTAGAGATTCCGTACGAAAATCGCAAGAATTTGGCTCCTGGTTTGAGAGGTTGGTATGTACATAGACTTCTTGTAAATGCTGTTGCAATGTGGGCTTCACCTCGTTACGCTTGTTATATTTTCATGATGTTAGATGAAATTCATAGACAAGAACGTGAAGAGATGGAAAAGAAACTTCAAGCAAAAGATGAAGTCATTGAATCCAAAGACAAAAACATACAGAAAAGAATACCACGTTCGGTACCAAAAGGAAAGGAAAAGAACTATAAGTATATGATTTACACTGAAGAGATGGAAAATGAAGAAGACAGAGATATGGTTATGTTGCATTTAGTCAGAAGAAACAACAAAAGCTTTTACGACCTTGCTAAGATTTACAAATCTGACAGAAATTGGTTCTATCGCGAAAACTTACCGATTTCAATGACACCGAATGAAGATGTGAAACAAATAGTTCAAGATACGTTACCTCAAACACACTATGATATGAAAGGTTGTACAATACTTACCTTCAAAGAAGACTTACCGCTACTGAAGGAAAAAATAACAGAGTATTTTGACAACTTCAAACAAGTAGGGTAGATGAACCATTTATTTTTACGCTTGACTTCAGATGGCTCAGGTAGCTCTATAAAGTAAATTGCCTTGTCAAATCCTTCTGGCATTCCGAGTCCTTCCATCCGACAAGAAAAGTTCTTCCTTCCGACAGAAAAAGTTTTTCCATCCGACAAGAAAAAATTTTCCCGACAACTGGAAAAAATTTTCCTGTTGTCCGTCCGTAAACCATTCAAATTTTCGAAAATTGAGAACTTTTTTCCCGACAACTGGAAAAATTTTTCCCGACAACTGGAAAAAAATTTCCCGACAACTGGAAAAAAATTTCCTTCCGACATTCCGAGTCCTTCCTTCCAACAGGAAAAGTTTTTCCTTCCAACAGGAAAAGTTCTTCCTTCCGACAGGACACAAACGAATGTCCGACGTTCCTCTTCCTGAATGTCTTCCAAAGCCAGAAGAACCGAAAGCTGCAGCACCACAACAGACTAAGACCAAACACTTACATTTTTCAAGCTTGACTTTTTACAATTTGAACTTTGTTCGCGTAGATATGAATTCTGAAAGAAGTATGAGGGTCTTGTATGACTTTGTACTTCTCCCATAGTTCATGTCTGTCAAACTTACCTGCCATGGACTCTTTCATAAGTTCCATGAAATCGTCTTCGGACAATCCGGGGAAAAGTATAATGTCAGTAAGTATTCTCTTTACATCCTTACTTAAACTCTTTGCTGTCTGTACACAAATGACAACAGAGATGTTAAAGTGTCTGAGCTTCTTAAGAATTCGACACATGTCTTGTTCTCTGTTCTTTAACAAAGGATGAGAAGCAAAGTCATCTAAGATAAGAAGACATCTATGAGGGTATGTCTTCCAATCGTAAGATTGCAATTTCTTCGAAATGTATTCTATCTCTTTCTGTTTGTTTCTGAAGTGTTTCTTCTCTAATATTCTCTGCATTTCCTCATTTGGGTCTTTAAACTTAGAATTGACATACTCATTTATAGCATTATACTTCAAAACTCTTCTTTGGTACTTCTTTATCCAATCTAACAACTCAGTATCCTTTATACATACTAACTTAGACTTTTTTATAATATCTTTGAACGAATTGACGGTTTGGTCAAATTGACCAGAAGTACTACAAATGACTACTAACTCATAAATGGGTTCTTCTCATCTAGTTCTTGTTGTTGTGCAGCCATTTTAAGATAAGTGAAAGTCTTACCCGACCCAGGTGGTGCGATTAGACCTGTTATACCATTCTGAGCAAATAAGAACTTGTCATGTATAGGTTTATCTGAGCATTTTCTAACTTCCTCTTGTTCTTGTTTAAAACATTCTCAAATTTCTTGTCAATGTCAGCAAACTTTTTTTCTAACATATTTTTAGAAAAATTAAAATTTTTATCTTTTTGAAAATGTCTAGCGATTTCGCTATCTATATTCGAGACAAACTTTTTGACAGCAAAACATCTGTCGACCATAAAATCTTACATAGTGTAAACAAGAAAGGTGAATTTGTTCTAAAGTTCTGTTTCTGGGAATATGACAAGAACCATAAAACATTAGCAGAGAAGTCTTAAAATTTGTCAATGACAGACTTGTTGACAGAGATGACGCCGATTGGAAAGATGAAGTCCAACAAAAGTTCTTAGAATGCAAAGAAGACACATGCGCTGTTCTTGAAGATGAAATAGAAAACAGAATAGATGAGCTATTAAAGGACAAAGAACTTTTACATAAATATGGTTGCGCCAAATTTGACATAACTCCACCAGAGAAGAAGAAGAAGAGAGAAAAGAAAGAAAAAGAAAGTAGAAGAAGAGAAGAAAGAACCTGAACCAGTTCCAGAGAAAAAGAAATTTGACATGTAAAAATAAACTTTTATTTTTAGAACATTTCTGGGTCAATGTCAATGTTCTCTTCCTCTTTAGGAGCAAACACTGGCTTAGACTCTAAAATCTTTTTACCCAATTTACCTTGAACTTCAACTATCTTAGACTCATAATATTCATAGTCGTCTGTCTTCTTTGGTTCATAAGGTATAACAAGTTTGTATGCTTTGCCTTCTTTAAGGTTTGAGAACCTTCTGTCAAAATTTTCTTTGACTGTAACAAACCTTCTATGTCTAAGTCTTCAAATTTCGCACCATTTTTAGTCACAATAGCAAACTTAACTGGTTCGATGTTCCAAACTTTGTCAAATGTAGACTTTTCAAAATGGTAGAAGTAAACATTCAAATATGTGAATGGGTCTAGTTCTTCTTTGACTTCTGTCATGTACTTATTTACTGAGATGAATTTCGTCATCTTTTCTATCGGATAAAAAAATATTTTTTTTAAATTTACTCAGAAAAATTTTTCTTTGTATATACGCCGTTCTGAACATCTAAAAGATTTTTGACATTTGCCAAGAATGTTCGTTTAGACGCTGCCATATAACCATACTCTTGACAATATTGTTTATATTCATCGTACAATGACCTTTCATCTAAACACTCAAAGTTAGTCTCATCTATAAACAGTTCATAAACACTCTTGTTTGCTTCTAACAATGTTTGTCTCTCTTCGGTATGTGGAATTTGTCTTGGATTGAACTTAGAAATATCTAATGTCATAAATATGAGAACAAGTGGTTGTAAAAGTCAGATGTCAAAGTTTCTGCTAAGTCGTCAAAATATTCTGTATCTTGCATATGAGAATCTGACGTTCTGACAACTACATATCTTCTGTCAGAACTTTCTAACTTCATCGGAACAACATTGTTTGAAACCATGACGAAGTTTGCAACATTTTCACAAACTCTTTGGTCTTTATACTTTCTTTCAACAACTCCAACTTTGTCTGTTATAAGACTCTTCAAAGCATCTGAGTTCAAAACTTTTGTTGTATCTATACTTTGAAGTTCATTGCAAACTATAAGTTTCATATTCTCTATTGAAGAGTTAAATTTACCGCAGATGTTTTCTAAGTTTGTCATATTCGGATTCGAATAACCTTCTAACAGTTTGCATAAGATATCTGTAAAGAAAGTGTTCTTACCAGTTCCTTGTTTTCCAATTATAATGAGAGCAGTTTCATTTTTAGCACTTGGATGTTGTAAGATGTTTGCAAACCAACATAAGATATACTCATAGACTCTTTCGTTTCCATTGCATATAATTTCTTTGACATGGTCTAACCAAGCTTCTATAATATTTTCTTTCCATTCTACTTGTTCGTATTTATATCCAGTGAAGATAGAATAGAAGTTTGGAGAAGGTGTATAAACTTTATACCTCGAACTGAAAAATCTTCTAACTTTGACAATAAGATATCCCAAGCATCTAACATCTTCATGCCAACTTGTACGACTTTTATTTTCTTAAGTTTTTGTCTACATTCTTGTTCAGACACTATTGTTGCTCTTGGTTTGTTAAAGACAACATCCCATTCTTTCATGACATAACATTCTGGGGCAGAGTCAACATAAATGACTAAACGTTTCAAATTCTCGACTGCTTTGTTATAGTCTCTAAATGGACACATATTTCTGAACGCTTGGAAGTCATAAAAATCTGAAACATCTATTCTGTACATTTTTATAAAAATAAAAAAAATATTTTTTTTATTCTTGACTTTGTTGTTGCATTTGTTGCATTTGTTGTTCTTGAGCTATTTGTTGTTGAAGTTGTTCTTGTAATACAATACTTTCACCAGTTGCATCTTCCAATTCGAAACTTTCTGCCGTCATTGACAAATACATAGGACATAAAAGTTTTACAGGAACAAAGTTTGCGTCAACTAATGTCAACGTTATACTTGCCAAAGTGTTTGAGTTTACTAAAGCTGAAAATTCTGCATTCGAATGAACAATAGGCAAACCAGCAGAGAAAGTGTTGTTTATACGCATGAGTATCTTTTGGTCATAGTAGTTTCTGTCGACATTCGAATAGCACTTTGAACCTAAGTTTGAAACAATATATAAAATAGGTGTACTTAAAGTCAATGGAATAGACATTCCTTGTATGACACCTTTTCCTGTTATAGGAAACTGTTGGTAGTAAAAACCAGATATAAGTTTTGTATTATAGCTCATATTGTTTATAGTAAACTCAGTCGGACATCCAAACATAATGAAACCTGCTCTAGTTGCAGCACATGTTACATCCGTCCTTAAAGTATTAAATAAGTCAACAAAACCTGTTGGTGGTATATCTGAGTAAGTATCTTCAAAGGAGTATTTTTTACCATTCACAACAATAAAATCTTCTGGTGTCAAAAGAGCAAAACAAGCTTTAGTCGTCATTGTGTTTAAGGTTAGTTTACAATATCGTCCTTGAGGACTTTGTAAGTTTGTTGTTATAGAATTATATGACTCAGGGTTTTTAGTCGTAATAGTATAAACCATTATATCTTCTGCCATTTACTTAGCAAATAAATTTTAATGAAATGTTATGGTCGTCAAATATTTTTATGACGTCTGGGAAACTATACTTTAAGTTCAACGTTTCACCTCCTTTCATAACGTATATCTTGTCAATGACATTATATGAAACACCACAGCAACTAATGTCGGGTTCTATTTCTTTGATGTTTATATCGTCTGCCTCTGTCAAAAGTTTCAATAGTTCTTTCAAAACTTCATGAGGTGCAATGACATATGAGTTCACTTTTACAGGGTTGTGTTCGACCAAGTTTAACATTATACCTAAAGCTTGACAAATCTTCTCCTGAGTTTTAAGTTTGTCTTTCAGTTGTTGGTAGTCGTTTCGAATATCTGCAACAGAACTTAAGTCTCTGCTAACTTCAGGATATGTTGGTTGTTCTTTTACAGGAACTATTGTTATACCATCTTCGTCTTCGTATGGTTTCCCCACTTCAACATCTCTGTCTTTGACATTGACAACAACACTTTGACTGTTTGTTTGAGTTGGTGAATTTAACTTCACATCTGCCACCGCCATTAAACCTTTTGAAACACTTACGCTTCTATTTTTCGGAAATGACATTTTACTTAGAATAAAAAGATGGACGTATTCGAGTATCTCTTCGAATTGAAGCAGAACAAAGTTTACACACACAAACAATACAAATACATTGACAGAATAGTTCTTTATACAAACAATGGAAAATGTTATAGAATAGCAGTCTTTGCTGAACCAAAATATTTTCATAAAGCAAAGAAAGTTGGTATAACTGAATGGTGAAAGTTCTTGAAGCAGACAAAAATATAACAACAAAACTTACAGATATTTCTAAAGGTAAGTTTATAATACAATTTTATGTCAAAACTGGCGTACTGTCAATATTTGACGGAGAGAAGTCAGTTCAAGAACAACTTACTGACCTGCTGCCAAAATCTGCTCGATGGAAGCTGTCGTTATGCCAATCTGAGGAGCCCAGCAGGTTTCATCGAACGAATCTTCAAAAGAGCATCTTCCGTGAAAAGTGCTATTGGTTTTGTAAACTTCTTTGCTCTCAGTTCATCTGGACCGTCTCTGTCACCAGTATATTGTATTTGACAGTACCAACAGTTGAAATACCACCCATAAAGTCTTCTGAGTCAGCAAATGGAATGCCAAGCCAAAAGTTTGAACGGTCTCCATTTGTATATTGAGTTTTTTGACCTCCTGTATGAGTCCATACTTTCACATATGGCATAATAGAATTTGCATTTCAGGGTTAATGGTTGTTGTGAAGTTGTTGTTAAAGTTCATAGCATCTAATGTCAAGTTGTATGACCTCATATCCTCAACTGTAGAATATTCTTCTCTTGGATAATATTTGCCATCTATGTTTATATGATATTTAATACCGGGGTTGTAGAAACAAGAATAGTCATTTATAGTTCGTCTGAACAGTACAAACATAGTATCTGCATGTTTCATTGCAGTTGTTAAAGCAATATCTGTTCTTGCACCTGGGTCAGCACTTTGGTTTCCAACTTCACCTGCAAAGTCTTTGACAGATATTTGGTGTATAGGGAACATAAGTGGAACTGCAATATATTTGGCAGCTAAAGCATTTGAAATATCTGGGTCCAACATATAGACTGCAAGTCTGCTTTCTATTCTCTTGCATTCAAATTTTTCGCATGTGAACTTAACTGGGTCCCAAGCATCTCCAGCAGCATTGAAATAATAGTTTACTTCAGTGTTGAGGTTTGAGAAACCAAAGTCTAAGTCAACTTTGTTTTTGCAAAAGTCGGCGAATGACATTTTATTTGTTCCCACTACTTCTGTAAGAGTGAATGGGTCTTGTGTTGGTGCAATGACTAAGTTATTTTTGCTTGGAGTAAGTTCAATAGAAATTTTTCCTGCCCAGTTTGGCAAGTATCTTAAAAACCTGAAGATGAGGAAAGATGACAAAGGAACTCTAAGTTTCAGTTTTACTTTGGTTACTGCTGCTGCAGTTTGTCCAGAAAGGTTAACATAAACTCCTGGAACGTTAGGGTCAAGTCTTCTTATTTTCTCAATGGTGGCATACTGGTCTGTTTGTTCTCTAGCTTGTGGTTGTACTGAGTTTCTCAAGCGAACCATTCATAGTTTGCCCATGTTACTGTTTGAACTAAGTCAGAGTTAGAATATATCTTATATCCCATGAAAACTTCTGGAGCATATTGGTATCCGACATAGAAAATTCCATTGCAACCTTTCTTGTCAGACAACTTGGCAGAAGGTTTTATTTCAATGTCTTGTTCCACGTATAAGAAAGAGTTGTCAATAGAAATTATATGAAACCTGTCGCAAGCAATATCTACTGTTGTTGAAGAACCTTCTCCAAACTCACCTACGTTTCCATAAGAAACAGCAGTTGTATATTCGTAAGTTCCAGGAACTATTTCTGACCTTCTAATGGCATTGTCGCATTCGTTATACCATTCGGAAACATTTCCATTCATAGCATCCAAAACTGTTGGCGTTATATTCTGAGCGGCGTACATTTCATATGAGTAAAAATATAGAATAGTTGGATTTATATGTCATAATAGAACCCACGTGGACCAAGCTTTACTTTCTTCCTGACTGAGTTTTTAACTCTTCTTTTTCCTTCATTGCCCTCTGCTTGAAGTTGTTGCATCTTTGCATTATGTTCATCTAGTATGTTGCAAATTTCCCATGTCCTTTTTGCCTTTTGGCTCTGGTCGCCCATCTCAGGTAACCTATATCCTAGAAAGAGTTTGTCATAGTCTGTATTTGAGTCTTCGCGTATTGTTTGCATGACTCTTTCCTGAGTTTCCGGTTCAAGCTCTTCAAACAGTGCCTGTCCATATGGAATATGCTCGTTTCCAAATATATGTTTTTGTAGCCATTCTGGTTTTCTTTCCATGTTACCAACTATATCTTTTGTGAATGGGAAAGCTTTTACCCAATCTTTCAGTCTTGCGTCGTTTATTTCTGTAGTTGGTTTTATTTTGTCAAGGAACATGTTTTTCAATACTAACATTTCATTTGGTACTGTCAATTTGAGTTTTCTTAAATATTCATCCCTTCTCAGTTCATTGTCTGCAAAGTAAGTTTTTATGACATTTTGCAAACTTTCATTTGCAAGGTCATGTACAATAGGTTCTCTTCCTTCTCTCTCCTAACTGTCTTTCTAAACTCTTCACCAAATATACCATCTCTATGGTTCTGTGTAGTTCTTTGAGATAAATGTTCTAGAACGTCAGGTGTTATATTTCCATCAGCCATGTTCATTTCATACTGGTCCAAAATATCTGCATGTTTCATATCTTTCAATGGCATTAAAGCCGCGCTTAAAATACCAGCTATATCTGGTTCACCATTGACTTCCATTGCGTCTACAACTTCTTGGAATTGTGGTTGTAAGTTTATGAACCACCTATCCGGGTTAGCTTTATGACCCCATCTCATTGTAGTTCCATCGTCTGCAGAAACAAAAGTAGGTTTGTTTCCATCTTGGTTAGGTTCTGAATGAACTTTAAACAATGTTTCATTTCTATATGTTTTCTTGAAATTTAACCTTTTATTTTCACCGAGTTCATCCGAAGATTGAACGTTAAATGCTCGTAAGTAAAAAGGGTTGTTGTATTTGTGTACATTTTCTTTCAGTGCTTCCATTCTATGCTGAATATTTTCATCTGGTGTTGGAGTCTTTTGTATGTCGGCAAACATTTTTCGATATTCTTCTACTATGTCAGCCGAATCTTTCTTAGACTCTTGGAAAGATTCCATATTCACCTCATGCTCTTGTTGAGGGTCAAGATTTTTCGGCTGTTCCAAATCTTCATCTAGTTCTGTGAAGTTAGTTTCCAAAGGAGTGACTTGTTCGTTTCCTTCAGGCTCTTCTAGCTGTTGTTGCTGAACTATTTCTTCCATGTCTGGTTGTATCTGAACTTCTTCCTGTGGAGTTTCTTGTACCTCATCTGCTGGCATTTCATATATTCCGAGACCGTTTTCAACAATTTCCCTATCTACGTCATCCGCATTCATAAGCTTTTGTTCTTTCGTTCCGTCTCTATTTTTTACGCGTTTCATGACGAAAGTTGAATTGTCATTTAGCTCTGACATCAAATATCTCGGAGTAAATTCATCCATGTCATTTGGATGATATGCTATTAAATCATATCCCTTAGCGAGCTTGTATTTTCCAGGTTTGAGATTATATCCGTTTTGGTGCTGAGCCATAAAGCTAAATAGGTTCGGGTCAGTATTTCCATCCTTGAACTTTCCAATAGCTTCTTTATATCTGTCACTAAAGTCAACAGTATCTGGGAAACCACACTCTTCTTTAAGCATTTTTAAGAATTCTTGGTTTCCTTGTTCTCTACTTCTTTTATGTCCTTGCTCTGTTTGTGGTTGTTGTTGTGCAGGGTTTTGAACTGTTGGTTGCTGTGCTGGTTGTTGTGTTGGTTGTTGTGCTGGTTGTGGAGGTGGTTGTTGTGCTGGTTGTTGTGCATGCCTGTGTCTGTGTCCATGTGACGATGTAAATGTTCTAGGTAGTCCTGGTGCAGGTGCTTCTCTTGGAGGGTTTGGTGGTATATAAGTTCCACCAGCTGGCACATATGTTCCATCTGCAGCGTAATGTCCTACCTGACTTTTCGTTTTTAAGAAAGCATTTACTAGGTCTGTTTTGGTCTGTTGTAACTCTTTTTCTTGACTTTTCACAACAGTTGCTCTAACGGCGTCATAGGCACTTTGAACTGCCTGTCTCGTTGCTGCATCTGTTATTTTCGTCATATTTTGTGCTACTTCTTTTAACTCTTTGTCGAAACCTTCAGACTTCAGTTTCTTTCCAGATGAGAAGTCGTTCACTTGTTTCACCTTACTATGAAGAGCTTCGAAAGCGTTCTTAAAGTCAGCATTTGTTAAAGCTTCATTTGAACTGTCTTCATCCGCTTGTATTTTTGTCCTTATTGACCCTATGAGTTGGGCTGCTTTAGCGTTGGCTTGGGCATCTAACCAGTCATTATTAGCTTTTATATATTCTGCGCTTTTCATTGCCTTTTGCATGGCTGCGTCGTTATTTTTACTTTCTTGTGCTAAGTTTTCATACTGTACGGTTTGGTTTTGCAACTGTAAAAGTTTTTCTGCCTTTACATTTGCTTCAACTTCTTTTTTATACTCATCGCTATCCATATATGTCTTCAGGGCTTTTTGTTTTATTTCTTCATCTTTCAGTACTTTATATTGAGTAGTATGGTTTTTCAAATTTATGACATCTTGTTCCATTTTTGCTACTTCTGCTGCTTTTTCTGACACTTTTTTCGCATATTCCTCTGTACTTAGTTCTTTCAGTTGTTCTTCTTTCTTCTTTTTCTCTACGTTTAACTCATTGAGTTTCTTTGTGTGTCTGTCATATTCTAGTTTCTTTTCGTTTTCGCTTATTTGTTTCTGTATGTCTATGTTTGACTTTTTGACATCTGTTATTTGATTTTTGAGTGAACTCAAATTCATTTGACTTTGAGGGTTATAAGCTGTTCCGTCTGCAGCTCCACCATAGCCTGCCATTTTCGCTAAAAGTGCTGCTCTTAAACCTCCACTCTGTGCACCAATAACTCGGTTTAAAAGCATAGGGTTGCTTGACATTTGTTGCAACATAGTGGGGTCATTCATAATTTGTTGTTGCAACTGTTGTTGTGGTGTCAGTTTTACTATTGGATGTTTCAATGCTCTCTTCCTCTTACGTATATTCTTACGTAGCTTACGTGGCATTTTAAGTGAAGTTAAAAACATTTACGATGAAGAAGTCTTGACAAAACATTTACGATGAAATCATGAAAATTCATGAGGTGAGAAAACAGGTGAGAAAAGAGGTGACATCTCACCTCTTCACCTAAATTATATTTTTGGGTCATTTACGCTCATTACGAAGAAGTCTTGACAAAACATTTACGAAGAAGTCTTGACAAAACATTTACGAAGAAGTCTTGACAAAACATTTACGAAGAAGTCTTGACAAAACATTTACGAAGAAGTCTTGACAAAACATATACGATGAAATTCATGAGTTTTCTACGATGTTAGAAAACATGTTAGAAAAGGTGTTAGATCTAACATTCTAACATAAACATTATTTTTTGGTCATTTACGCTCATTACGATGAAATCATGACAAAACATTTACGAAGAAGTCTTGACAAAACATTTACGAAGAAGTCTTGACAAAACATTTACGAAGAAGTCTTGACAAAACATTTACGATGAAGTCTTGACAAAAAAGTCAACGGCTGGTCGGCTGGGGTTCGGTCCTCCTCTTGGGTCTTGGGAAAAATTCTTAGGGCTAGAAGGCACGAAGTGCCTGGAAGCCCCGCTCCCTTTTTTTTTTTTTTTTTTTTTTTTTAAATATCTCTCGTATTTTGTTATATCTAATTTCAATAAATTGGTTTTATGGATATAGAACAATATTTTTCGATTAATTCATATTAAGTTGGAAATGTTAAATTATATTCATATGCTCGTTAAGGTTAATTCATAAAAAAAATTATTCAAATTTATTCGAATTTTTAACGTTGCAGACTTGTAATCATATGATCATATACAAAATGTTTCGCTATTAATAATACCACTGTTTCTAAAGCTTTCGAACAGGTCAACAGTGATTTTAAAATTCTCGCATTTATCCAAATAAAAGTAAAATAAATTGGAAATATTAAAGTAAATGCTGTTGAAAAATTAGTTAATGATATAAATTTAATCTTTTGTAATTTTCTTTCAAATTTTAACAGTTGTTGCATTGATTAAATTAGCCAAAATAAACCCAAGTTTTAATGATTATAATAGCTAACACTGAAATTATTCTGAGGTGAACAATCAGTTTGACAAATGACGTTGATATTTATTAATTCATAATAAGCATTATTATATGTTTACTAATATGATATGTCAGTTCCATTCAAATCGATAAAATAACATCAGAATATTTGATTTGAAAATTTGAGAACTTTACAAAATAATTCTGTCAAGACCATTGAATAGTTTTGAATCATAAATTCCAGATATTGATTTAGTTTTAATTAAATAATGCATTATTTCAACGACAATTTTATGTCGACTAATTTAATGGTATTGAATTGGTATTTTTTGTGAAGACTCTCAAAAACGTTTATGGAAATTCTCATATTTTGAAAATAGCCATATGGCTACGCCAAATATAATCAATCATAAAATGGTTTGCTTAATTCAATTTCAACTTTGACTTCACAAATGAAGAAATCAAATCGGAATCTTATATTATCTAAGTCTTTTATATGGAATGTTCGTTTGGCAACAATCCGAACGTATCCTAAGGTGGCAGATTGTATTCAGTTTTGATCAAATTTGTGTATTTTTTTCAATTAATTTTCGATTTGAATAGTTTATATTTTATTAATTTCTCGTGCTGGATTTGATTCATGGCAATATTTTTATAATTCGAAAAGCCAGTCAAAGCCAATCAGTTACTGTGCAAATTGCAAGCCTAATGTAACCCAAAAAGAGTGTTTTGTTTTACGAAGCTCTTTTTATGATCTCAGAAATAGTGCTATCCAATATTCAGAAGACGAAATCAAAGTATTACATTCTGAATGCAACTTTTATAACAACACAAATATAAACTATGGTGGATGCATTTTCTTTAACTCCAGTGGTTCTTTAGTACAAAACAAAATTTGTTCTGTAAGTTCACAAACAACTACAAAAAATTATAACGGTGGTCATCACTCATACTCAGATTGTAAAGTTGAAAGCAAGTTAAATTTCATCTACGATTCTACAATTAGCGAATGCGGAAATGAAGAATCACGAAAAACAATTACTTTATTTAACGGAAATATTTCAATTATGTCAACAAATATCAGTCATTGCATAGCTTCGCATAACTCAGGATTCGGACTTTTTCCATCTTTAGAAGCAAGAGTTTCATATTGTACAATTGATAATACATCATGTAAAAATGGGGATCAAGTATTAGGTCATTTTAATTCTAAAACTCATTTTGTTTCATTTTGCAACATATTGAATAACAGTCAAAGTAGTACAGAATATGGAATAATTAATTGTAATGGTAATATAACACTTGAAAACTGTTCCATACTTGGAAATGGTGATGATTCTGGAACCAAACTTTTTTCTAAGGCAGAATTTTCCATCTTTACAGTTAAAAATTGCTATATCAATAGTAGAGAATCTATTTCAGATGGAATATCTAATGATAATATCGTCATAAAAGATTCATATTTTAATTTATCCCATCTATCGACTTATAAGTGCCAAGCTCCAATTCCTATAGTTGATGATGCTAAATATGAAGATATGGAAACATATTTTCAGAAATTAATAAGAAAAATTGTTGCTCCTTTCCATTCTCTGAATAAAAACTCATCATAACTTCAATATAAATATGTTTTTAATCATTTCTATGAACAACTTATTAGGATATTCAGTCCAAAATTCCAATTTGTTGATTTTGGAATTGAACGACATTCGTAAAGATGCTTGTGAATGATGTGGCATCTAATATCATATCAAATGACCGCTGAGGAAGAAATAAGGCAAAAATTGAAATTGTTTTACCAATAAATTGGATGACCATTACTTTAAGATAATAAAATTTGGATCTCTCGTTCATATAGAAGCAAGTGGTATCTAATGAACTTCGTTTTGATGAAGTTGTCTGGATTTCGATCTTCAATAAAGATTTATCCAGAGAATTTCATACACCAATAATACTGCTGTGATTTCTTGATTCTTAAACGGTCAGGTAGTGAATTAAAATTCTTGATTTGAACTGCAAAAGTGACATATAACTATGAAAATGATATTGATGAATTGGAAAATTTCTGATTTTGAGAAAACGCATTGAAAAAATTGAAGTTGATAGATTTTCGATGTTTCTTTGTATTCCTGAATTCAAGTTTATTATAGTTATTTCAATTGCTGCAATGTCCATCGGAAACGTCCTTGTATATTGTAGTCCAGCTGCAGAGTCTTTAATCAACGATCTTGGCTATTCTTCTACAGAATTTAGCGCTATTAATGCTTTAGCTTCAATTTCAGCTATTGCAGGAAGCCCACTGATTAACATAGTTGTAACCAAATTCGGCCGTAAAATTGCTGCGATTTGTTCTCAAATTGGAGTAGTTCTTGGATGGGTTTTAATGATTGTCGCTGGAAAAAAGTACAAATGGATAGGCTACATATCCAGAATTGTTTCTGGTATATTTATTGGCGCAACTTCTGGAGTTATTCCAGTATATATCGTTGAACTCGCTCCAGAAGAATACCGAGCAGCATATGGTGTAATGTGTCAACTATTCGTATCAATAGGCGCAGTTATTTCATACGCTTTCGGACTTTTTGCCAAATGGAGATTAATTGCAATTTTATCTCTCATTCCATGCGGTCTCTTCTTAATATTCATATGGTTTTGTCCAGATTCTCCCGTTACTACATGTCTTACGAACCTATCAGCATCAGAACCCATTTTTCAGAAGAAGTTTATTTTGCCAACCATCATTTCGATGCTTTCCGTCATATTCCAGCAGCTATCAGGCATAAACGCTCTACTTACGAACTTGAATCCCATTTTTCAAGCCTCCAAAATTACAATGTCTTCGGGAGCCGCTGCTGTTTTAGTTTCTTCAGCGCAAATGATATCAACTGCTTTGTCATCAGCATTCATTGCCAAGTTTGGTGATAGAATCTGTTGGTCTGTTTCTTCTGCCGGCCAAGCTGTTGCATTAATTTTATCATTTGTCAATGAAAAGAAGAATTTAAGTCCTTATATACCTGTTATTTGTCTCTTCTTTGATGTTTTCTTGTTCGGAATGGGTCTTGGACCTATTCCTTGGTTTGTTGTCGCAAAAGTTTTTCCTGATTCAAACAGAGCTCTCGCTTCTTGCCTCAACCAGTCCTTTAATTGGTTGTTATGTAGTGTAATGATATTCGCATTCACTCCAATGATGAATGCAATGACTTTAAGCTGGGTTTACTTCTTCTACGGAATTGTTATGGCTTTTTCAATATTTTACGGAATTTTCTTGATGCCAAAGGATGAGAAAGAACCAGAAATACAGAATGACCTGGATATCGATACAAATCCGCAAGTTATTAGAGAATTATAAGAATATAAATGTTTGTATTTGTCATTTCATAGTAAAAAGCTTTTTTGGATCAATATATTTATAATAAGCTATCCTTTTTTTAAATGAAAGATACATTTAGATCTTATGAAACAAATTATCGACTAAAATTGCACTTATTACTCTCTATATAAGAAGCAATGAAATACCATGTACAACATAATTGAAAAGCACATGATCTAGGCGTTCAATAATTGCTAAAATAAAGTAAATTATTAAAAGGTTTGTGAAAATAGATTAACGTTTTATGCTATGTTTTATTTGCAAAAATGTATATATAATGTCACTTAATCAGTTTAAACACATAAATTTCAAAATATCTTTTCGAAAAACTCAATATCGAAGTGTATAATTTTGTTAATAGATGGCAATAGTTGAGTAGTATACATCATTTGGTTTTCACTGCTTAAAAAACTAAATAGGCATAAGATATATGGAGATTCGATGAATTTTAATAAAAAGAAACAATATGTCTTTAGTCTCCGTTATAAAATGAAATTTATGTATATCGATAAAATTTTGTAAATGATAAGAATAATTTGAGAGGTACTGGATTTATTAGTGTGAGTTATAATATTTAACTAATATGGGAGGGTTTCTGATCAAAAATTGTAAAAATGAAATCTAAATTTAAAAAATTCGATTGTATTAAATAACAAAAAATGATGGGTCTAGGCCAAACATCTTAAGAAATGGCTCGAATAAGAAAAATCCTGGTATCCTAAGTAATTGTATAAAATATTCTTGTATTTTGTCTTTTGTTCTATTTGCAATTGTTTGGTCTAACACATCTAATGATTTTTTAGTTGGAAATTCTATAATATGAGGGTTTCCTTTGAAATAATCTACAACATAAGAATTAAACTGTTCTAAAGTAGTATGAGCGAGATGGACATTGTTCACATTAACAACAACACCACTTTCTATACCTATTTCGATATGATAAACAATTGAAAGTCCATCTTTCTGAAGTTTCGCGCTCGCTAGACTAATGTACATTCTTGGATTAGTTGTAGCATTATTTAATAGCTGTTTGCATGCTTCTGGTACCTGATCAAAAGGAATTGATTCCATAGAAATTTTGACACTTTTAAATTATGAAATCTAGTAAAGATAGCATTCCCTTTGTTTCTTTTATCGAGATAAACTTCATAATATGTACGAAAACCTAATTAATTGTGAATTTTGAAATCTCAAAAGTAGTATATGATACGGGTTTTGTGACTTTTTTTGTAAACGTAAGAATTCATACAATATTGAACGATTTTGTATCATTTTTTTTGACATATGAAATAAAAAATATATGATTCTTACGGTTTTTATTCTTACGTTTTTGAATAAATCAAGATTTAAAAAATTTTCAAAATTGTAAGACATTTACACTCAGCCCATACATAATGAAATAAAAAAATAATTTTTTTAAAAAATAAACTTTAAAAATTCATGTCTTACATTTATGAAAATTTATTTTTATTTTGTATGAAAATGAGTGGATCAAGATTCGTAACCGTCAATCAATTAATGGATGCTCTTTCACCAATTCTTGAAAATGTTAAACAAGTAGATGTTTATTTCGATGATTATGTAGAAAGTTTATATTATAAAGGTAAGTTTAATATTAAACCTATTGCTTTTGCATTTGATAATAAATTAATTGAAAATGCAAAAATTTGGGAATTAATTCCGAATATTGAATTTATAACAAATATTAATGATAAATGGTTTAAACGAATTCCAATCACAAAAGTTCTTTGTAAATTAATGATCAAAACTGAGGAAAAAGAATTTAACGAGTTTAAATATCATCCAAATAAAGTTTCAGAACTAGAAAATGAAAAACTTCAGAAAAAATTAAACGATAGACTTTCAAATGATCGTATTGAAAAAATAAATAAACTAGCAGAAGTTGCATTTAATAATGAAATATTTGATGAATATAACCTTGAACTCAGTGATGGACTTTAAGTCCTGGGCACTTCATGCCTTGGATTTTAAGGACTCGGGCTTAATGAGTCATAATTTATGAAATCAATTATTTGATTTATTCTTTCTTCAATAATTTCTATTCTTTTTGTTAAATCATCAATTTTCATTAATGAGGTGATTCTTGATTGAGGAATAGATTTCAAACTAACTACTCCTTTTATTTTTGAAATTTTGAATCCATCAACTTTAAACATTTTATTCAATTTACACGTTGTCAATTCTTCAAATAATTTTTTATTATTAGCATAATAGTCATTAAATTCTTCAACAGATGAAAAAATTTTTGTTTCAGTAATTGGTTTAACAATGTTATTTTTGTTGAACATTTTCACTTTCATTTATTTCTTCCTCCTCTGTTTCATTTATTTTTAAAATCGGTTCATTTATCATTAAATAAAAATTAGAATATAAGTGATGAAATATATTTTTTAATTAATTTAAATCAGAAATGGCGGCAGGATTCTTTAAAAAATTATGGGAAGGAATTAAGAAAGCTGCAAGTTGGGTTCATCAGAAAATAATAAAACCCGTTGCAAACTTTTTGGCACCAGTAGCGAAAACGGCAGGAACTATCATGGTGGAGTATTAGGTACTAAAGCAGGTAATCCAGCGATGGGAGCACAAGCAGGTAACGCAATTGGTGGAATTGCTGAAGGAATACTTAATAAAATAGGAGGTAAATAGTGGAAAAATAAATATTATTTTTATCTCAATATCGTTGTAGTCGACGATAAACTTTATCTCCTTTATTTAATACTTCCCTTACCGGAACATTAGGTGCTATTTGTTCTGCAACGTCACTAATTGCTTCTTTATTCTTAAATATCCAATTTGCTCCCTTCTTCATTGTTTCCCAAACTTTATGCGCTCCTCTTTTTACTTTATCCCATAACTTTTTAAAGAATCCTGCAGCCATAGTTGATTATTTCATTAAAATTAAAAATTCATTTTCATCTTTTAATTTTGATTTTTATTTCATCATAAATGACGACTAACTATTTAGTGCCAAACACTAAACCGATTAATGGAAATGTATTTCATTCATTCGAAAGATAAATGAAATATTCGCAAGAATGACGGTAGAAAGATATTATAGAGAACTTGAAAGTTCATGCTATGACTCTGATGCTCCATATTTTGATGATAAACAAACTCATTTAAGAATTACAAATCCAGCTCATGATGTGAACCAATTAGGTGACACATATATTAAACGCAAAGTTAAAGCAACTCTAGTTTCAAATAAAGCTTTCACATGTGATGCCGCTTTTAAATGCATGCGTTTATTCGTTGGTTACAAATCATCAAATCAAAGCTTTAAACAATTAGAAGTAGAAACTGAAAGAGGTGATGCCGGTTATCTTCAGATGGATTGCGCCCGTGAATCTTTCGCATTTGCAACATATAAACCAAAATCAGAAAGGAAAGTTAAAAAGTTTGTTCATTCGTTATATAATAATGTTCAAAAATATGATAACTCAGTATGTGGTAAATATATTGACCCTTCAGAAGTTTTCAAGAAAGCAAATGAAGAAGTTGATGTCACTTTTGATATGATTATTCCGGTAAATGATTTGTTAGCATTTCAGGCGTTCGATGATTATCCTAAATCATTTGGTGAAATCATTCTTAAATATTATGTTTTCAGGGATACTTTAGTATTTTGTCAGGTTGACCCGTTAAGAGTTGCTGATTTACAAAATTACGTTTATGAAAAGATAACTGATGAAAATTATGAAAAGATTATGAATCATGTTTATAAATATGATCGCAAATTCCAACAAATCGGACTTCCTGCCAAATTAATTACAAGCTAGCCACTACATCTGCTGACGCAACAGTTGAAGACGTTATTATTTCATGCACAAAGATGGAAGTTTTAGAGGATAAATGCATTACACCAGGATACGGTTTAATTGAAGAATCAGTTAAAGCAATACCACGTTTATTCAGTAAGGAAGATCCATTCATGATTCCAGCTCAACATATTGACGTTCGTTCACTAAATGGAGGTTGCATCACTCCTGAAGGTATTAGCTCAGATTTCTCATACGCTCTTCATAATGTTACAGATGTTGTGTTAACATTTCCGAAGAATGCAATGCAAAGAACGGTTTTAGAAAATCCAATGCTTCGAGGTCTTCAGGTCACTATAGATTCCAGAAACTTCCCCGATCAAGCGATGACCACAGTGGGTGACATATTCTTTACACGTATGCTTCAAGCTTCTGATTTAGATGGAGTGAATGAATGCACAGAAGAATACGAGGACTCATTAACTAGACCACTGAATGATGATAATGGCACGCCATTAGCTAGAACATGGAAAGACCAAACTTCATTCTTATGCACTATTCCAGTTCAACGTGATGGAGCGGGTATATTCTTTGATGGATTAGAAACTTTCAACTCACAAGTTACAGTACAAGTGAAAGCTTATCCAATCATTCAGGGTGAAAATGACACTTACTGTTCAAAGGTGACAAATCCTCCTCAGGTTTGGTTTACTAGGACTACGTATTGGACATGGACACCGGATGAAGGTTTGAAATATCATCCAACAGGTACACCACCACAGTATAGAAGTTCATATGATGAAATATTGATGAATAGAAATGTTTAAAATTATAAATTTATTTTTGATTAAATGGATTTCAATTCTGAAGAATTAAGGGTATATAATACATACATAGATGATATGATTAATGAAGCATTGAGTGATAATAAAAATGCTCTATCTAAGGAAAAATTAATGAAAATTCCATATTCTGAATGTTACTTAAATTCAATCACTGCAGCAATTGGTAAACAAAATAAAGGTAAAACATTAACGATATTAAAACAAATTATCATTATTGCTAACACTTCACCTTATTCTCATGTGTTAATTTATATCAACCGTTCTGGTTCACCTTCTGATGATACATTTGAATCTTTAAAGCATTTAATCAAAATTCCAATTATTTATTTATCACAAGAAGAAGCGGAAGATTATTTGAAAAACTTTTTAATGTATAAAGAGTTATATAATACAATCAAGAAGCAAGGATTAGAGGATAAAATTATTGATAAACAACGGGATGAATTATTTGAAACACTTTCTATTTCAAATTTTGATAGAGAATTTTTGCATTCACTCATTTTTCTAGATGATGCAGTGAAATCAAAACTAATAACTAATGAGAAATCATATTTTAATCAATTATTAACTCAATGTCGACACATTCAGTGTTCATTCTTTATGGCTGTTCAATACTTTAAAGCATTAAGCACAAACATTAAATCAAACCTGTCCACCCTTTTCATTTTCAGTGGGTTTAGTCGTCAACAGTTGAACGTTATGCTTTATCAAGTGAATTTACCAATGAGCATTAATGAACTTTACACACAATATCAACAATTAGGAGAACATGGAAAAATAATAGTTGATTTAAATAAAGGAGGTGTTAAATTCGAATAACTTTTTATAATTAATTTTTATTTTTTATTTATAATTAAACATGACAGAAATTGCAAATCTTCTACAGGTTCCATTAAAACAAGGAACAAACAAAAAGGGTGCATATAATAGAACTATGAAAGTTCCAGACGGAATGAAAGAATTAGTCCACATTGTTGCCGGTCTTCAAAAGATGTTAAACAAATGAGAAACGTTTTAACATTACCAGAAGCTCAAGCATATGCCAAACGTCATGGACCAAATTGGGAAGCACATGAAGCAGACATTACGGACCAAATGGAAAACCTGATGGTATAAATGAAGTTTTCGTTACTGATGGTCAAGGAAATATTAAAGTCATAAATGGGTATAAATTAACAATGACGGATTATCCTAAACGTAAAGCATATAATGAACGTTATCCTATGCAATTTGATGAAAATGGAAAAGCTGTTAAACAATACATTGAGAAGGTGAAAATGGTCCAATTAATTCATACCGTTATAATCCATATTCTTATTTCAATGAAGAATTAAATGCTATTGAAGAGGGACCGGATGGATTACCACGATATGTTAATCGTTTGATGGTCAATATGCAAATTTGAGACCTGAAATTCCAGCTAAGAAATTCTTTAAAGTTGCTTTAT